CGCCTTCAATGTGACATGTTGTGTTTTGAGAAGTATTTTCTATAAAATTCCCTCTTTTTCCTTGTTGTTCTCACTTCAGGTCATGAAATGTGGGGCTCAAGGAGCAAAGTGTCTTTACTCTAACTTCCTAACTTCAGCTAACCCCCAAGATCCGGTATCTTGAGAGACCTCAGATTATATGTCCTGTCTTCCTCCTGCTCTTGATTCTATTTTTTCTTTTACTGTTAGTAAACCGGTCTCTCAAGATTAGCCATGAGAGCACTCTCCTTCATAGAACTTATTTCTGCATTGACCTGTGGTCTCTATTCTGCTCCTTGATTTAAATCAAATTGCAGTGTCTTAAGTATATAAGTTCCAACTGGACTCAAATTAGTCCCTAAATTAAAAAGAAGTTAGAAACAGAAAACAGCCCTCAAATTCTACTAATTTTGAAAGATTTTCTAAAGGAATGTGTTTTTTTAGTGAACAGATTCTTCCTTGGTAACTTATCATATATATGCCAATTGCCACATTAAGTCCTTTCTGCGAAGTGCTCTTTCTTCTAAAGACTCATAGGGAATAAGCTCACAGAGCTTAACAAATAATCATTCTTTGAATAAAGTTATTCAATCTAAAATGCTAGGTTATGATTCTTTAAGCATTTATGCACATATGCAAAGAGAGCTTAGTCAATGTGTTTCCATTTCAGAAACAAGTTGTTTCTAATAGCCCATACAAAAGAATAAGAGTGAAAAATTCTCTGTAATGGCTCAATTTCCAGACTGTTTTATAATAGTTTACTTTTTCCAAAGCTTGGTCAAGAATAAACTGTCTGATACAATAAGAAGATGGCCTTCCCAAAGGTTGTCTGAGATTTAAATATGGAAGCAGTAACTGTTTTCCAGGAAATCTCTTAACCCACATTCATAATATGCCAGCATTCTGATCAATAATAGGAAAATTATAGAATATATCTCAGTGTTCTCTTCATCCAACATCATCATTGGAAAATTAAGAAACACAGGTCCAGGGGGAATAAAGTCACCTACTCAAAATAACAGATTTAATGAAAGAAATAAAATTAAAAGTGAAGTCTTATCAGCCTGTAACATTTTGAGGTTAAAAGCAGCTAATTGCTAAAATCATTGTGAATGAACATATTAATTTATTAAATAAGTATTATTGAGGGTTTAATGTGCTAGGTCCTGAGAATACAAACTCATGCTTGATCAACAGAGTATAATGGAAATAGCATTTTATGGTTTCATGACCTAGCCCAAAAGGACCAGCAGCTTCTGCTTTGCCCTCTTGGAGCCCTGACCAACAATAAAAGAAGTTCTACTATCCTGACACCTCCATGCTGTAAGAAGTTCAAGGCACAGGGCCACTGCATTGTAATTCTCTTTAGCAGTCCCAGCTCAGCTCTCAGGCAATAACCAGATCAACCGATGTGCATGCGTGTAATCATCTTTGAAGACCAGTCCATCTGATGCTTCATATGACTCCAGTTCCTGCCATTATATGCAACTGCATGATTCCCAAGTGAGAACCACCCAGACAATCCTAATCACCTCACAGAACCATGAGAATAATAACAAACTCTTTTATGCCACTAACCTTGGGATGGTTTTATTTGCACCGATATGAAATCAGAAGAGTAGATAATGGAGAAATCATCAGTAAAGTTTGAAGGAGAGCGTAATGATAAATTCATATTCATTACTGATCATTTTGAATAGGTAGGGCCATAGAGTTAGTAACAGAAGATAAACACCCTGTCTTCTGCTCCCACCATATATTCAAGTTTATCTGAAATTTGAGGACTGCTGGACAAAATTGAGTGAAGTTCCTCCTCCTGTGTACAAGTGGCATTATGGAGATTCAAAACGGTCTACTAGGAGGAAGGGAGAAAGGGCCAAGCCCTTGACTATTAAAGTACCAGTTTCGAATTCTGATAGCCAGGTATTAAGATAGCCCCCAAGCAAACCTCCTGCACTCATGGTTGGGCAAAATCATCTGAAAACACAGTACACTGTGGAGTATCAGCTGTTTACTTTCAAGATGGTATTGCCACCAGGGCAGTGCTTGCTGTCTATGCTGAGGCATCATGAGAGAGTACCGTACTGCATATTGCTAGCCCAGTAAAAGATCAATATTCAAAATCTGAAATAAGGTTTCTAGGAAATGCATACCACTTTCCCACCATAATACGGTAGAAAAATTGTAAGTAGAACTATCATAAATCAGAGACCATCTGTGTAGGGAAAAGTAACCTCTTCAGGGTATTGATTCTGTCTCTCCAAAACATGATATATTTCTTCATATATTAAATCCTTCTTTAAAGTTTAAAAAGTTTTATGTGGTCTTGACTATTTTTGTTGGATATATTTCCAGATCCTTCATATTTTTCTTCCTATTAAAAACAGTATCTTTCTTAAAAATACCTTTTCTAATTCTATTATTGGAATACAAACATTCATTTGAGATTTATATGTTGATCTCACATTCTTCTTGTTTACTAAATTTATTCATTAATTCTAATAATTAATTTGAAGAGTCTCCTGGGTCTTCTACGGAGACAGCGTGTCATATGCAAGTAGTGACAATTTAATTTACTCTTTCCCTGTTTAAATTTTTTTTCCTCTTCTAAGTGTACTTTCTATCGCACCGTATTGTTAAATAGAATCAATGAGGGTGGTACATTTGTACATTTCTGATTTTTCAAGGAAGTCTTTTCAGTATTTTACTTTTCAGTCTCTATAGATTTCTTTACTGTGTTAAAGCTATTCCTGTCTCTTGTTTCTAAGACTTCTTATCAGTTACTAATAGGTTTTGAATTTCACTTAATGATTTTGTTCTTTTAAAACGACTGTATTTTTTTCTCTTTTAATATCTGAACTTGGAAATTGCATTAATAGTTCATCATAATAAACTATCATTACATTTCCAAGATTAACTCTTCTTTCTCTTCATTTATTATATACAACAATGAATATTCAATTTGTTTTGTGTTTTGTTCAGGAACTTTGCATCTTTGTTCTTAAGTCAGATTGTCCTTCAAATTTCTGTCTCACAATGGCCCTGGATTTTTCTTTTTCTCAAAATTTTCCCCCAATATTTTAGATAAAAACCCAAAGACAATAGTGTTATGATTCATTATGTACCTACCACCAAGCAACAACTATCATGGCCTCAAGGCCTCTCTTGTTTTATCTCTCTCTCTCTTTCTTTATCTCTATCATGGTAGATTATTTTGAAGTAAATATTGAATAACCGTTTCATCTGTAAGTATTGTGCTATGTATCTTAAATGATAAGGATATTTCAAATAATATTATTTCAATATTATAATTACATCTGAACATGATATAGTCTCTTAAAATTATCAAATGCTCACTTTTACCCAATTGTTTTATATTTTTTATTTAATTTGTTCAAATCAAGATCCAAACATGGTTCACACATTTTATTTGATTAATATATTTTTCACATGTTAAGAGTGATATGTTGTTTTATTTCCTTAAATTCACTTGCTGGGGAAATGTAGTTATTTGTCCTGTACAATTTCCCACCTTCTAAATTTTGCTAATGGTATTCCTATGTTGTAATATAATACTGTCTCCATGTCCTATATTTTCGGGAAATTGCCAGCTAGATGTTAACCAGAGGTCTCAAACTGTTTTGATCTCAGGACACTTTTACACCCTTAAAAAATATTGAGGATGCTCGAAAAAAAAATTTTGTTCATGTGAGCTATTGATATTTATAATAATACATATTAAAAGAGAAAAGTTAAAAATATTCATTTACTAACTCACTTTGATCTTTTCTGAAAACACGTTAACAAACTACCAATATGTCAATAAGTAAAGTTTGTCTTGGTTTATTTTTCAAGTAAAAATGGTGTTCCATGAAATAGTGAATTAAAACTCAGTATTACAAATTATTTCCCTCAAGACAACCATTATACTTTAGCATGTCAGCTTTCCATTTAGTCATACAGAATATTCTCTCTAGATGTATTCAAGGGTTAAGATTTACTGAAGCCAATTCACTACTCTGATTCATCAAGTTCAAGAGCATTTTCAAGTAAAAATGCCTGTATTTTGTTTCTTGCAAGTACGTGGATATGAGCAATACAATTTGGTGCCACTGCCTTGATTAATGTTAAAGCACCAGAACTTCTATCCACCATTTCTTTTGCCTCATCAGTGCAAATGTCAACATAGCAAAAATGACAAACAACACTTTAGTATAACTATGACAATTATAATTGCACAGCCACTCTGAACAGGCCCTGAAGACCCCCATTCGTGTGTAGATCACAGTCTAAGAATGCTACTCTGAGGTATCAAACTGTCACTTCAGAAATACAATAAACCAATGAACTGTCTCTTGGTCTTCTCACACAAAGGTAGCTGGGAGGCAAATATATTTAACTGCTGTTCCATAAGACCCTGACTTGCCTAATGACTCATAAGATTATTTCAAGCTTCTTTTACATCTTGCTGCAAAGTTGAAGTAGCAACTCTGAACCAGTGCTGCTTCTTCTGGTTTCTATTCTTTCTTTATTTCGACTAATACATTGTCTTTGCCAACACATATAATTTTAATGCCCACCCAATTTTTGTTAATTAATTTATTTTAAATGTTACTAGATAAGGTATAAAGAAATTCATAAGTATGCCTATAGAAGTGAGTTCCTGGCAGGTTGATCAAAAGCAAACTTTTGACATTTCTCATAACTATGTAATATCATAATATTTTCTAAACTATGTAATACCAGACTCACAAGACTGCCTTTATTCCCTTAAGTTTCTCAGAAGAAGATATCTGGAAGAGGGTGGGAAAAGTGCAAACTTCCACTGTTTGTGGGGAAAGTGCTGGTCTGCTACAGAGAAAAAGGCAACATCTCTGACAATTCCCAGCCTTTGCCAGGAGGAGTCTCCTCCCCTTGGCATTATCTTTTGAACCAATGCCAAGCCCTCCCCATGACCCCTGTCCCACCTACATAATGCCGTTATTCACTCCAATGACCATCCCTGAGATCCTCTTATAAAAAAACCCAGTCTTTCCTGACCAGACAAACCATACCATATCCCACCAGAGAGGTAAAGGGGAGCTGAGAGAAGATGAGACCCAGGGAGGGGCTACTGCACACGATACAGGAGAATGCATGGGAGGTTCCCTTCCTCAGGGTGCACAAGAACTCTGAGACTCAGCAAGGCTGTCCTGGGAGGGCTCGGGGATGGGAGAGTACACAGATTCCAACTCATTCAGAACTGTAGAAGATGATGGATGTGACCAAGATCCCTTTAGTCCTAGGGGACTAGACAAGGAAAAAGACATGAGGCTGTAGGGTATCTGTGTGTTCTCCCACTGACCACGCTTCCTTTAGGGACTCCTGACTACCTCCTCAAGTCACAGACACCATGTTGCCTCCCATGGCCCTGCCCAGCTTATCTTGGATGCTGCTTTCCTACTTCGTGCTCCTGTCTCACTTCAAGGTGAGATTGCTCTGCCTCTAGCATAGGGTTTCCTATGAATCCTTAGAGCCAAGAAGAGGAGGAAGGCTCCTGTGTGCCACATGAGGTAATGGCATAGTGTCTAATGAACCTGCCTGCAGTTCCTGCATCATCACTCCTTCCTTCAGGTTAACTTGCAGTGGGAGGCTCCATGGGGTCCACTAACAGTGGAATGAGATGGCTTCCATTTAGTCAGTAGACTCCAATATAGACTGGTGGGAAAGTGTGGAGGGTCAGTAATGAGATGTGGGGAGGGACAATGACTGGAGGACCCAGTGTAGAGACAGCCCAGAGTGAGGAGAGTGTTGAAAGGTTGAATAAGGGGAAAGGGTAATAAGAGACTAGATGGTGCCCCATTTGCTAGGGCTATTTTGAGATAAAGAACTTCTGAAAACACAAGGGAAGATGAAGGGGTGTCAGGAATGTGGTCTTCCTCCCCAAGGGCAGGCTTAGATATTCCCCAAGGTCATCTTCCACCTCAACCCCCACTCTTCATTTTACCCTCTCCCTCTTCTTCCACCTCAGGTGCGGAACTCCAAAAGGAACTGCCCTCTGCGCGGATCCGCTGTCCCAAAGGCTCCAAGGCCTATGGCTCCCACTGCTATGCCTTGTTTTTGTCACCAAAATCCTGGATGGATGCAGATGTGAGTGGTTAGATGTGGGATTGGAGGTGACAGGGGAAAATCCATGCAGGTCTCAGGGGGAGGAAGGTCTTCATTCAGGAGAGTTCATTGGGAATGAGGATGAACACGCTTATCTTTCACATAGTCCTCCTCCCACCTCCCTTTGTCCTGCTCTCCCCCAGTGGGTCTCAGGCTCCCTCTCATTCTCTTTGTCTCCCTCAAAGCTGACCTGCCAGAAACGGCCCTCTGGAAACCTGCTGTCTGTGCTCAGTGGGGCTGAGGGATCCTTCGTGTCCTCCCTGGTGAGGAGCATTAGTAACAGCTACTCATACGTCTGGATTGGGCTCCATGACCCCACACAGGTGTGAGTATATCCTCCCCTCTCTGTTATTTCTCAAGGTGCTATTGTTGCCCAGATCCACTTCCTGTCCCCTGTCCCTGCCAGGAAGTACTTCAGGGAGCACTGGAACTCAGATTCTGGGAGACATTTGGAAGAATAGGAAGCCCACGAGGCAGCTGAAGATCTGAATTCTGTGGAGGTCCCTAGTCTTTAAATAAAATTAATCAGACTCTTGTAAAACTTTTACATATTTCTCATGTGAATCCTTACAAATCAATTAGCTGAGCTTCAGGGAGTCTGCATCTATTATTCTGAGGGAGTTCTCAATTAAGATAGGACCAATTTTTGCTCCCCCATACAGAATAGACATTATCTTTGAGGTTCACAGGCTAATCACAAATGCTACACCAATTATTTTTCTATAAGTAACATATTACCTTGAATGATTCCAAAGGTCTTGTGTTTATTGGCTGGGATTTTGAATAGCAATGAGGAGTTAAGGAAGAGGTTCCAGTGCAGAGGACTCTAGGGCAGCATCTGGAAGAGCAGACCAAAATCCCTGATGCTGGGGAGGAATCAGGTGTTATAGCTCAGGGGCCTGGCAAAGAGAGCTGCAATGGCCATTTTCTTCACCTGGCTGCCTCCTCTTCTTTATAGGATTCAGAGCCTGATGGAGATGGATGGGAGTGGACTGGCACTGATGTGATGAATTACTTTGCATGGGAGAAAAATCCCTCCACCATCTTAAACCCTGGCCACTGTGGGAGCCTGTCAAGAAGCACAGGTAAGAAACAGAAGAGCTGCCTCTTCCCAGCACTTTCCGCTCCTCATCCCCAATTTCTAGGCCTGACCTTCAGGAAATTCTTTTCAGCTAGGAAATGCAGCGTTGATGTGTCTTCTCCCATCTCCTCTCATCTCTGCTTTCTTTGAGTCTCATTCTCCTGGATTGAGAAACTGGTGAAGATGAGAAAAAAGCTTTAAATCCTAGGCTAAAACCTGGGATGCCTCTTCATTGGGTTCACAAGTTCCCCCAGTGCCATGCCTTTTATATTCTGTCTCCCTAGGATTTCTGAAGTGGAAAGATTATAACTGTGATGCAAAGTTACCCTATGTCTGCAAGTTCAAGGACTAGGGCAGATGGGAAGTCAGCAGCCTGAGCTTGGTGTGCAGCTCATCATGCACATGAGACCAGTGTGAAGATTCACCCTGGAAGAGAATATTCTCCCCAAACTGCCTTACCTGACCACCTGGTCGTGATCCTCCTTCTTTTTCCTTTTTACTCACCTTCATTTCAGGCTCCTCTCTGTCTTCCATGTCCTGAGATCTCAGAGAATAATAATAAAAATGTTACTTTATACTTGTATGCTTTTGTTTCATTCTTATAGTAAGAGCCTTTGGAAGAGGAGGGTGAAGCTGGCGGACAAAACACTGAGTCTTGGCTTCTCTCAATTTCACCCAGGCCTAAGGGGAAATTACTATATGAATGTCCCCATCGGTGTATTTGTGATGAAGGTGTGGGCCCTGCTCAGGCAGGGTTTGTGTCAGGAAGAAATGAAGACAGTGCTTCTCCACGCACTCACTGCCCACACATTGTCCTTGATGTTGTGACACAATCAGTCCTAGGGGAGTCTGACATTACTTAAAACAGAACTTCTCAAATAATTTTCTGTGAAGGATCTTTTTTTTTTTTTTTTTCACATTAATTTGCAATCTGTGTTGCACGGCGACTTTTGTAAAATACAGTAAAAAATGAATTACTTAAACTTCTGGTTACAATGTTGACATAAAGAACTTTGGAGGCTGCTACTCTTTTCTTTAAAACAAGAAAATCTGAATAAACTTAAAATCAACAACTTTCCTTTGGGCTAGTGAGAGAACTGAGGTAGCAGGGCAAGTTGGTACCCCAATATCTGGAAAAGCACCCAAATACGCAGAGTTGTTTACATTTCTGCTTACCTGGAGCAAAAGCCTCTAGGGCTACAAGCTGTTAGGAACACTTAAATGGTGATTTTGAAAAACTGCTGGATGTTGAGTGCAGCTTGGCATTAAGAGTGAGAAACTCATGGACATGGCACTCCTAGGAAAGCCCTCATGCCTTCATGGATTTTACCTTCAGGAATCCCAACAGGTTCTCTTGGTGGAGTCAAGAATAATTCTCTCATGGCTTTCGCAGGAGGAGGAGAAAAGAAATCATTTCTAAATCAGTCCAGAGCATTCTGAATAACAAAGACCTACTTCCCGGTAAAAAGACCTAATGAGCATTTTATCAGGCCTAAGCACCAGTGCATTGAAGTCCACTCCATCTAGCCTTTCATCTTACCTAACAGAAAGAGAGTTAAGAAACAATTTTGAAAGTCAGACCCTGGGGCATAGACTCACACAAATACTGAGGTTTAATCATAAAATTATATGATACTTCCCCTTGCTCAGACACTACCACATCAATAGAGATGCAGTTTAATGACAATAGATCACAACTGAGGAGCTGCAAGGTACACTATTTAAGAAAGAATTATTAGGAAATGACAAAGGCATTAGGAAAGACAAAAATAGGGACACGAGAGAAATTTTAAGCCTCTTGCACCTACAGCTCTAGCAAACATTAAACACAAACTAAATCCTAGTGAGATTAATGAAAAGTCTTATACTAAACGTCTTTCACTTCAGTTATTATTACTCAATACATCAGGTGAAGCTTTCAAGAAAAACTAAAAATTTTGCTGAACAATAAGAAAAAACATGATCTGAAGAGATAAAGCAAACATCAAAACCAGACTCAAATATGGTACAGATTTTGGAACTATTAGGAAACTTAAAATAACTATGATTGATGTGATAAGGGCCATGATGAAGAAAATGGACCATGGGAAAGAAAAGACGCATAATCTATGCAGAAAAATAGACACTGTGTAAAAGAATCAAAAGACAATGCTACACATCAAAAGCAATATAATAAAAACAAAGGAATTTTTTTTTTTAGAGACGGAGTCTCAGTCTGTCGCCCAGGCTGGAGTGCAGTGGCACAATCTCGGCTCACTGCAACCTCCACCTCCTGAGGTCAAGCAATTTTCCTGCCTCAGACTCCTGAGTCGCTGGGAGTACAGCCGCCTGTCACCACACCCAGCTAATTTTTGCATTTTTAGTAGAGACTAGGTTTCACCAGAGACCAGAGGCCAGGCTGGTCTCGAACTCCTGATTTGCGGTGATTCACCCGCCTCAGCCTCCCAACCAGGATGTTTTTGAAGGGCTTATCTGTAGACTGGACCTGGCCAAGTAAAGAATCAGTAAGCTTGAAAATAAGTCAACAGAAACTTTCCAAACTAAAATGCAAAGAGAAAATAGAGTGAATAAGTAGAACAGAATATCCAAGAACTGTGGGATAATTTTTAAACTCTAATATATATATATAATTGCAATATAAGAAGAAGAAGAAAAAAAGAAGCAAAAGAAAAATTTTAAGTAATAATGATCATGCATTTTCCAAAACTAATGACAGACACCAAACCCTGGATCCAAGAAGCTCAGAGAACAGCAAGTAGAATAAATACCAAAAACCAATCCTAGGCATATCATATTCAATTTTCAGTAAACCAAAGACTAAGAGAAAATCTTGAAAGAATCCAGAGAGTTTGGGGGACAGTTTACGATAGAGGATCAAGGACAAGAATTAGAACAGATTTCTCATCACAAACCATTAGTGGAATAGACTACTTAACGAATGAGACGGCATAACAACCAAACTAGAATTTTATAGCCAGCAAAATTATCCTTCAAAAGTGCATGAGAAATAAAAGACTTTCTCTGACAAACAAAAAATGGAATTTATTTTCAGCAGAACTGCTTTGGAAGAAATATTGAAAGAAGTTTTTTTTGGCGGGGGGAAGGGAAATGATATAAGTCTGAAACTCAGATCTACTTAAAGAAGAGTGTTAAAGGCATAAAAAAGTTAAATGAAATATTTTGTTTACCTCATTTTTCATCAAGCTAATAGATAACCATTGGCTTAAAGGAAATATAGTAACTGTTTCCTGTGAGTGCAGCACGTGAACAAGTGAGATGAATGATAGCAATGTCATAAAGGATGAGAGGGAGAAATTTGGAGCGCTTTGTTCTAAGTTTCTGCGCTACAAGTGAAGCACTATATATTATTTGACAGTGGACTTGCATTAGTTGTAAATGTATATTGCAAACTCTATAGCAACTGCTATAAAAATTTAAAATAAAATACAATTAAGATATAAGAGAGTGAATAAAATAGAATAATATAAATTGTTCAATTAAAACCAGTGAATGCATAAAAAGGGAAGAAAAAAACTGAACAGAGTAAGTGATCTTATAGGAAACAGTTATAAACATGATAAATGCTATTCCAACTATATCAATAATCACTTTAAATCTGGGTGATCTAAATGTGTCAATAGAAAGAAAGAGATTGTCAGAGGGATTTTTTAAAGAAAGACCCTACTGTACGTTGTCTATCATAAAACCACTTGCAACACATATCCTGAGGTATGATCAAAGTAAAGGGATGGAGGAAGATATACCATGCCAACATTAATCAAAAGAAAGCTTGAGTAGTATGTTAACTTCCAACAAATCAGATTTCAGAAAAGTATATAAATATTATTTGGAATCAAGAGGGGCATTACAAAATGATAAAAGGGGTCAATTCTCCAAAAGGACTTAACCATGTTTGACATGTATGTACCTAACAAGAGAACAAGATGCATGAGACAATTACTTATACAATTACAAGGAGAACTAGAGAAATCTTTTTTTTGTATTCAGAGACTTCAACAGTTCTCTTTTTGTAACTAATAGAACAAGTAAGCAGAAAATTAGGAACAGGGTTGACCTGAATAGCATTATCATTCAACTTGTTCTAATTGACACTTAAAGAATACTGCATCCAACAGCATAATACACATTTTTCTCACACTCACATGGAGCATCTACCTAAATAGACCACATTCCCAGGCATGAATTACACCGTAACAAATTTAAAAGTATAGAAATCATAGAAAGTATGCTGTCGGATCACAGTGGAATTAAACTGGATATCAAAAACAGGAACATAGATGGGAGATTCCAAAATACTTGGAGTTAAAACAACACATTTCTAAATAATACATGGAAAAATAGAAGTCACAGAGAAATTTTTAAAAAATAGTTTTTTTTAAAGTATTTAACTATTTAACTAGTTAAATAGTTATTTAAACTATTTCTATTTTTTAAAATAGAAATTTAAAAAATTTAAAAAAGATGAACTAAATAAAAATGAAAATACAACTTATTAAAATTTGTGGTATACAACGAAAGCAGTGCTTAGAAGAAAATATACAATATTAGTTGAATATGCTAGAAAAGAAAAAATGATCTAAAACAAATAATCCAGGTATACTCTTTAGGAAGCTAGAGAAATAAAGGTTATTTAATTGTGAAGCAAGCAGAAGAAGAAATATAATAATAGAATAGAAACCAATGAATTTAAAAAGAGAAAAACAATGGAAAAAATAATAAAATAAAAAAACTGATTTAAAAGATCAATAAAATTTAGGCATCTATAGGCAGACTAACCATGAATAAAATAAGGTGGTGCAATTTAGTAATGTCAGAAATGAAAAAGAGATCAAGGGAGGCTGAAAAATGGCCTCCCTCCAAAGACCTTCTTCCTGGAATTCATGAATGTGTTACCTTAAATGGCAAAATGGACTTTGCAGATGCGATTGCATAAGAATCTAAGATAGGGTGATTATTCTGGATGCATGAGTACAATCACAAGGTCTTTATGAGAGGGAGGCAGAAAGTCAGAGGGGAGACAAAAGATTATGCAGCTTTATGTGAAGATGGCTGAAAGGGCCATATGCAGCCTCTAAAACCCGGAATAGGCAAGAATGGATTTTCTTCTCGTGCCTCCAGAAGGAAACAGTCATGCCAACATCTTGATTTTAGACCTGTAAATGTCTTAACCACTTCTGTTCTTCAGGATTGAAAGAAAATAAATCTATGCTGTTTAAGCAGCTGTATTTCAGGGAATTTGCTATAGTAGCAATAGGAACCTAATACAGAGGTCATCACTACTGAATCCACTGTGAAAAAAAGATAGTAGGTTGCCTGTTCACTCTGATGATAGTTTCTTTTGCTGTGCAGAAGCTCTTTTGTTTAATTAGATCCCATTTGTCAAATGTAACCTATAGAATGGGAGAAAATTCTTGCAATCTATCCATCTGACCAAGGGCTAATATCCAGAATCTACAAAGAACTTAAATAAATTTACAAGAAAAAACAAACAACCCCATCAAAAAGTGAGCAAACGACATGAACAGACACTTCTGAAAAGAAGACATTTATGCAGCCAAC